TAAATAATATAATAGAAGTGATATGTCTTATATATATTTAGGGTTAGTGTTTAGAAACATTCCATGGTAACTATGGACCAGTACAAGGGAGTTTTCCAAAGTAGAGTAGGTAGGTCTACTCATTACTAGTCCATGGCTAAAGAAATCATATTCTCAAGTGTAAACAATTTATCTAGCCTGATCTCTGTGGTTTGTCTCCAGGTGCCCTGTCATTGCTCGACAGAACAAAACACTCAAAAATAAAAGAAAGAAAAGAAAATTGTCAGAAGAATCCCAGAATATTACTGCAACCAGAGGAAAAAAAACTCATAAGGATTGTAGTTGCAGCTAAAGAGCATAGGTACCAAGCAAAGTTAGAAAGAAAATGCGTAGAACACCGTATGAAACGCCAGTGACCCAAAACCAGTATCCCAAGGTCGCAAAAGCCTCCTCGCCTGCCCGTTCATCCATCATTGACTCACTCGTGCAGGTTAGAGTGGCCGAACAGTAAAGCAAGTGAGAGAGACTCAACAACCTCTACAGGTCACCGAATGTGTTCTCGCCCGAGTATCTAACCGTTATGTCAGAATGATTTCATTTATGAACAACAAAAAGGGAAAAACATACGTGATATACAAGAAGCCATCTTCGTCCTTGTGCTCTTCGTATATGCTGCTCATGAGCGCAGCAGTTGGAGGGAGGACCTCATCAACGAAGATGAAGATAGCCTTCTCGGGGGAAAGCTTTATGCGCTTGCGGATCACATAGACAAACTGTCCCACGGTAAGGTCGGCAGGTACTAGGTACTTCTTCTTGTCGATGGTGGCGATATCTGACTTCTCGACCTTCTCGCAAATGACCTGTAGGTTGACAAGTCCGTTAGCTACCGAACAAGCGGTGAGGGTCCGAGAGGTTGGTTGCAGCCAACCACCCTCCTTCGGGGAAATCCTCTGGAATCAAAAATACTCACAGGAATCCGGTCAGCATATTTTTGGCGGATGCGCTCAGCCTCAGCCTTTCGCTTTTCGAAGGGGTGCTCGTCCTTGAACTTGGATCGCATCGTGACTGATAAGGGTCGATAAGTGAGAGCGGGTCGGGTGGAGAGTAAGATCAAAACACCAGGAAGCTCCGGTGCGAAGTTGGTAGCAGTAGTAGCTTTCTTGATGGGAATCTCTGGATGTGAAGTATCTTGAAAGTAGAAAGAGAGAAAGAGAGAGAGATGGAGAGGGGTGATAAAGAGGATGACAAGGCGACTCCCCCGCTGACGTTACGGTAATACCATCACGGGATCTATGGGCGGTGAGCCAATAGTCACGCGGCAGAAATCAGATGTCTCGATGGTTCTACTCAGGTGGACAGCAAAACACATATGTTATTTACATACTATATCAGTAGATTAAGAGACCTCCTTAATACATTTATCAGACCTTTAATAATAACTTATCTAAATGAAAACAATCTTACCAATACCGGGGCTTACATGTACTGCCCCGTTGGTGCCTATTTGAACTTACGGCTGCTTATCGTGCTTATCTCATTCAACCAAACAGATCAAACTCATCTCTTAAGAAAGTCGTACGATTTGAGACCGAGGTTGGTTGCGTGGTGTTTTGCTGAATTGTTGACTCAATTCAACTTCTTGCTCAAATCATTCTTTGTACAGATTTGAGTTACTACTCTCTCGGTTTTAGCCATTGACCTTTTGGTACTTTGTACTGACAGCCATTCGCGCAACCAATCCTATTCCAAAAAATGGCCACTCGATCATACACACCTCTGCGGAGGTCACTGGGGCAGTTGTCTGCTCGAAGCACTCGCATTGCCAGTCGTCGCGCTGGACCCTCGTTCCGCGGATATTCCACTGGGCAGGAACCGCGTGAACCGAAGCCATTCACTGTCTGGAGACCATACTTGCGTCTCGCCTTTGGCGTGCCTTTCATCGGCGGAATTATATATTCAATGGTATGACACATCGCTTCAGAACACAACGAGGTCAATTCGCTCATTTATTCCAGATGACAGAAGAAGTCACGGAACTCGACGCTCCATCCATAGTTGAAGTGGATGAGGCCTTGAAGCAATCATCGAAGATCAACGAGTCCTCGCCAATGCGGTTACGGATGGAAAAGCTCATCAAGCAACACCAGCAGAAGATTATCGAGGAACTAGGCAGAATTGATGGGCAACAATTCAAGACTGACACTTGGTCGCGCCCCAATGGCGGCGGCGGCGTTTCATGTGTGCTGCAGGACGGAAACGTCTTCGAGAAGGCGGGTGTCAACGTCTCCGTGGTGTACGGCAAATTGCCCCGGCCAGCCCTTGAGAAGATGCGTGCCGATCACAAGTCCTTTATTGGCTCAGATGTGGACTCGCTAGATTTCTTCGCCGCCGGACTCTCGCTGGTCTTGCACCCACACAATCCCATGGCTCCGACGGTCCATCTCAACTACCGCTACTTCGAAACGTCGGACCCCAAGGACCCTATCAACGGGGACAAGAACTGGTGGTTCGGAGGTGGCACGGATCTGACCCCAACCTACCTCTTCCCGGAGGATGCTCAGCACTTCCACAAGACCATTAAGGATACGTGCGATCGCCACGATGCTACATACTACCCCAAATTCAAGGCCTGGTGTGACAAGTACTTCTACATCCCCCACCGTGGCGAGTGCCGCGGCGTTGGAGGTATCTTCTTCGATGACCTCGACGCCAACTTCCTTCAAACCTCCGCCGGCTCCTCCTCCAACCCGCAAGAGACACTGTTCTCCTTCGTTTCGGACGGTCTGGCATCTTTCCTTCCTTCTTATGTACCCATCATTGAGCGACGCAAGGACATGTTGTACACCCCAGAACAAAAGGAGTGGCAACAGCTTCGTCGGGGCCGCTATGTGGAGTTCAACCTTATCTATGATCGTGGAACCAGCTTTGGCTTGCGCACACCCAGTGCCCGCGTTGAGAGTATCTTGATGAGTCTCCCACGTACCGCTAGCTGGGCCTACATGGACCCCGTCTCTGGCACAAGGACAGAGAACATGCCTGTGGATGAAGATGACCTGACAGAGGATAAGACCAGCGAGAAAGAGATTATGGATGTGCTGCGCCACCCCCGCCAGTGGGCATGATTGATTCATATGCCATATCCGGTATATGGGTGTATTGTGTTTTTTCTTGATTTATGTATGTATACTACCTAACAAAACATGTAGAGTGAATGTGAATAATTATTGAGCTAGGGATGTGTCATGTCCACAAGTCCTGATCGAGAACACCTAGGTGTTCAATTTCAAAGCACAGCTAATACAATAAGGGAATCCTTGATATTTAACTTGGAAATGCTCCAGGGCTATATTGTTAGCTTGCCAGTTGAAGGTATATTTCATGTAGGAGTTGTCTTCCATTCATATAACCATATTCTCACCGACACTTCATCTTTCTCTGGTAAGATGGCCGAGTTGGTCTAAGGCGCCAGGTTAAGGTATACCTTGACTCCATAACTAGCAATAGTTTCCTGGTCTCGCAAGAGGCGTGGGTTCGAATCCCACTCTTATCATGATTTTTTTTCTTTCTTTTTTATATGTTCAAATTGATCATTTCGCTTTTCCACTTTCTTTTTAAAAATTAGTTGAACAATGAGGTACGTACGGTAGTGATCACTTAGTTAACTAACTATTGCCTAGGTCTAACTTGAGGCACCACGCATAAACATTTTTAGCAAGGTTGTTCCAACCTTTATATGACACCCCTCGGTTGGCAAGCTATCTGTGGCTCCGATCTTCACTTCTACTATGGTTACATAGGTGCTGCCAATGTTCCATAGAATCTCGGGCATGAGGCCGTCGGCTATGTCCAAGAAGTTAGTAGTGCGGTGTCCTCCCTTGAGCTGAGTATGTGATCATCCCCGACAAAAGCCTTGGACTGCGTCGGATTTAAGTCCGTGAATGCTACCCTTCTCTCGGTTGTTGCACAGCAAGGAGGTATCGCCACCGCAGGTGTTTACACTGGTGGTCAGAATAATACCCGAGGTGTCGCCAACGCCGCTACTGTACCTGCCGAATTCCTCATTTCTGTCCTTTCGAGCTCTAGAGGAAGGCTGTCACTGTTGGTAGTGGAATAGTACTGCTGCTAGAGAATGCACATTCGCTTGTTGATCTTGTTGCGAATGATCGAGCTTCCTCGGGCTTTATGGTTAGCTCTATAAACAGAAAAGAATCATTGCAGCTATAGTCGCCCCCGATAGCACTATATCCAAGAATGATTCGATGTGGAACGGAACAGTGTATTCTTTTTCATTCATTCATTGATATTGAGGCGGTGGTTGATATGGAGGAGGGGGCATTACAATGGGCTTGACATTGACTGGTTCTCTGCGGCCGCGCCTACAGGAACAGATCAAACATCCAAATATGAGCAGTAACAAAGCTCCGCCAATACCACTGGAAAGTCCAATAACCAACGAAAGATGATCCTGAACCCATGATGAGATATCATCACTTGGCCGGTCATTTCCCCGATTTCCTCCAGTGTTGTCGATGTTTCTAGTATTGCCATCATCTGTCTGACCACATCCATCTCCTGTTCGCAACTGGCATGTCAAAGAGTCACAGCACCGAGTCTCTTGTTCGTTACAGGCACCATTTCCGCAATCGCATGCCTCGCCGGTTTCAACAATACCATTGCCGCATTGTCCGTTAGTATTAGTGGTATTACCAGTCCGAGAATCCACCAAGCAACGCCCGTCAACCCGCCCAGAGCCGAGTCTTGAACAGACATTTCCAATCGTGCAGGGCGAGAAGCGTGTCATACCGGATCCAGAGACAGGGTTCATGAGGTACTGCCCGCCAGCATCGCATGTATTCGATGAGAGCGAACAGCATTGTGTCGAGTCACTTCCGCATGTACTTGAAGTACAGTCATGGACTGCTCCGAATGTATGGGCCGACTCGTGGCTATATATATATATATATTTTTTTTTGGTCAGCTAAAAAAGATATCACCACCAGGTGATTAGCTGATATGACAACTTACGCAAAGACCTGCCACTCATTTGATGTTCGAGCAACAACATTTGCACTAGCTCCTCCATTACTAGAACCAGAACCTGTGTTACACAGTGCTCCAATCCAGGACACCCCAATCTCCCCTGCAGAAACTGAACATCCAGTCAACAAGGTCCAGTATGCATTTTCATCGTTCACGGAGCTTCGCCACCTTGAAAAGGTCTGAAGGCGCATGTTAAGGTCTCCCTGGGAGCAAGGGACATTCCATGCAGTCGTGTCTGAGGTACTGCTCGGGCATTCCGCGTCACTTATCGTCAAATTCTGTACCGCAAGAGAGATATTAAAACTGTTCTCAAATACAACAGATGCCGTGTTGACCATATTCAGGATATATCGTTGGGCAGAATCGGAGGAATTGAAGCTTGCAGTGTACGTGCAGTCCGTCATTATGCCAATGTTTGCAATCTCTCTCGTGTTCGGACAGCCGTTCGCACTGCCGATCGTTGAGGTGAAATCCTCATTATCCCAACCATTCCGGCTCTGTCTTTTATGCAAGTGTGTTTCGGGTACAGTTGCGCAGAGCGAAGGGAGTGACGATTGGCTACCAGTTGTGAATGCCGATTCGTGCTCGTGGGCTTTCATCGCAGTCGACCCATCATTAAGGGTCTCAAATTCGAGGGCATACTGCGAACCCATAATTGTAAAGGCTCCATCCAGGAGCAAGTTCTCTTCATGCTGAGTCATGGCAAGCCTTGCCCATCCGACATTCTCCCAGCTCCCCCTCAGAGTGTCCTGCATCCAGACTGATCCTCTTGTAAATCGAACTTGAGCGTTTGGCAGGGCACCTGCCTCGTTGGTCTGCCCATGGATACCGGGATACCGGATCTGCACGTCCTGTGATATGAGATCATCATTGTCTTCTAGAACAAAACTGATGGTTTGGTTGTAGGCCTCAATCCTCGTTGTTATGTTGAATTTCTTCGAGTCGATCACAGGAGAGAGCACTGGATCGATAAGATGGAACGACACCAGATCAACTGTAAGTGAACAGAGTCAGGTTTATATGCTTGAGACAGTTGAGACACCCATGGGCATCGTATACTTACATTCAACAGCCGATATTGACACAATCAATGCAAGCAAGGTTAGAATAGTAAAGGATAAGATCTTCATCTCAGATATTATGCTTTGGACTTGATGCCCCTCGCCAAAAAAAAAAAGGATCGACTTCCCTGTAAGTAGTAACGTGTAGCAATATATATAGATTTAACATCCACCTCCATAAATCTCCAGCCCCACCGCCAGGCGTCAAATTATATATGGTGTCTCTGCCATGGCTGAGATGTAAGCAGAAATCCATAACTAGTATCAATAGAACAAAGGATTCTAGGCGGGCATAAGCACAATAGACCGCCAAGTGAGAGTTGAACGCGTGGCTAGAATAAGAACCATACAACATGTGTTGTAAGACCCATAGCCCAATATGTGACTGGGATCTAACGCCTATGGTAATGATGGAGAACAGTGGAGATCTTGGCCTGTCAGCCACCTGCATCCAAAAAATTCCTGAGAAATCCTGTTGCCTTCCTCAGCCACGATCGAATATCTTCGAGTTTCTAATGAAAAAAAGAATAAAAGAAAAGAAAAGAAATCTCATCCCATTTGGATATGGGCGATCTGCTCGAACTTGGTTTATTTTGACATAAAACAGGAGTTATCTGCCAGATAGAATCCATAAAGTTTTTGTCCTAATTTATTGTTCTTTCAACATATAAAATCCAATTCTGAATAATCTACATGTCGATTTGAATTGAACAATCCAAGAGTACTACCATGGGAACCTTGAAACCCTTTGCCAAGCATCTCCGCTATATCAGCATCTCCGACAAGTCCTGCTTAACTCCATGCCAAGGCTTGCCCCAGCCACCACCACACGTATCTTCCAAGTGTCAAGGATTTCCAATCAAGAGTCCAGCTTAAAGGAATCTGAGAGCCCTACATGACTTCATGGCTGTCTGGGCAGTTGAAGTAATGACGATGCACAAGAAGCAATAGCGGCTTCGGAGTATTTCCGGCCACAATCACATTTGATGGGTTACAGGTCGTCGATATGGACCTAACGGCTGAATATGCGCATCGAACATCATGCCGATTCGACAGTAATTACCCTATGCTGTGAAATACTCAGTGAGCTGGACCCCAAGAGCCCTCATAAAGCAGCGGCACCTCAATCGGGTAAGCCACAGCCGCCTAAAATCCGGTCGATATGGCTAAATATGTACATAACTATGTTGTAGGTAACTAACTACCGTTGGATAATGAATTACATCATCCAGCCCTACCCGGTAACTAGTTAACTAGTAAGTTTACAATATATAGGTGACATACATATAGTCTCCGGGGTTTCGGGGTCCGTGGCTACTCCTTCGACATGGATCCATTTTAGACTGTTCTATCGAGCTTTCAATTATGCAGTAGGTAACTATTAGAAATAATTTCAGTATCCTAACATATGCCACGGATATTTCTCATGCCCTAATTGCGCCTATTTTGGGTGGTGGGGGTGGGTGGAATGAAAGTTGAGGCCTAGAACGAAAGTATTTTACCAAATTGCATAGTGCCTTTGTCCGTATTCTAACTGACTCTTGTTAGGAATTCTTTTATATAGCCATATTCTCGCCGACAATTCATCTCTCTCTGGTAAGATGGCCGAGTTGGTCTAAGGCGCCAGGTTAAGGTATACCTTGACTCTACAACTAGCAATAGTTTCCTGGTCTCGCAAGAGGCGTGGGTTCGAATCCCACTCTTATCATGATCTTTTTGTTTTTGTTCATATCCATCTCGATATAATAAGGCCTTTGTTGGCTCAGTTAGGTTAATTTTTAGTGTGGTGTGGAGGTAGGTGGTTGAATTGAAAATTTTCAAAGTCGTACGTTTTGCAGATGTTGAGTTTTACAAAAGTTGGTTTTGATTCTAAATTGCAGACAGATCCTGTAATTTTCAATATCAGGCTATTTAATACATGTACCTCGTAAGATTTCGACTACTTGATAGTTATAGATATGTAAGTAGATACTGTTAAGACAGACGAGTAATCTCTACTTTTTGCCTCATCCTCGGCAATGGTGCCAATAAGAAGATATAAAACCATAATATAAAGTATAAAATTCCTGCTGAGATGTCTAGGAGTCCATAACCAGGTAATTCAATGATAAGCCACTCCTATCGTTAGTTCTACACTGCTATATATCTTACTCTCTCCGATACCAGCTATAACTATCACTAAGCCTAAATGACTATCAATAAATCGATTTTTATATACCAGTATAGTCATACACCTTATATATTCCCTGTGACCGCATACTGGCTTCTTCAGCGGGTTACATTACAAGATAAAAGCCCAGACTGTCTTTGGACATGCTAATCAGACTTGGGAGGCTACCACTTTCACCACTCACCACTAGGATATATAGGACGGACGATGGCATATCTCGCAGATGAGCAATGATTGCACGTTTAAGATGCTTTCATATCAAAATTAGGATACCTATATATATAGACCCGAGGATGTTGAATGAAAAAGTTAAAATGTATCATACTAAGAACATTCCAGGGAGACTATGCTTAAAAGTCTTGTCCTAACAGCAACTAGTAGTATGTGAAGCTGTCTTTTAACCATTGCCTACCTCCCATACATCAGGCTCCAGGTCGCGCACTTTTCTACTGGATCTGACACATGCTCGAGTTAATAAAAATTTATATATTTGGACTTTAAAGGTTATATATAATTTCCAAGGCTCTCCATGGCTAAATTAATACATCTCAACCAGAATATAAGAGGATTTTCTCGTTATATCTATACTAGTTACTTATAAAATTGCCAAGTTAAAGTAAAGCAAAGCCCTTGCCGACGTATATATGGAACGCACAAAAATGGAAGAAATTTTTTCTTGCCGAACCCACCACACCCACCGTCGACTACAAAAACTTCACCAACTACAGTCAAAAAGCAAGTGATGTATGAACAAAAGGCAAAAAGATCATGATAAGAGTGGGATTCGAACCCACGCCTCTTGCGAGACCAGGAAACTATTGCTAGTTGTAGAGTCAAGGTATACCTTAACCTGGCGCCTTAGACCAACTCGGCCATCTTACCAGAGAAGATGAAGTGTCGATGAAAATATGACTAGATAAACGGAAACAGAAATAGAGACCACGATCGAACTATGTTGTGTGTAGCCAGGACTTCCGATTCTCCGTACTTTTTCGGAAATATGTGCATATGTAGTCTCGGCCGACATCCGGAATCATCCCGAGAAAAGAAATGCCGGTATGAGAGAAAGCTCACCGCAACCTGGATCATACACGGAGTAGCCGACAGATAGACGGAATCCCATATGAATGCATGTTCCTGATTTCCCTAAGCCGAGGTCAAAGCCCGCATTGGCCCGCTCCACCGAGTAGACGCCATCCACTGCAAAGTCTCATGTAAGAGTGGCATGGATGAATTATCTAGCGTAAACTCTGAGATCTAAGGGAAGTCATGATAGGCATCGGATTCTCTCTGTTTATTTGCAATAGTATCGGTTGTCGGGCTGAAGAGTTGAAATGGCCGATTCGCGCACCGAACATCGGATGATGTCTTTTGTCTGGGGGGTTTGAGCCCACTAAAACCGGGGTTTGGTGGACGAAATTAAAGGTCCGGAGAATTAAATGCGGAGAATTAGATGCCTAGAGTAAGGCGTTCCTGGACTGGTTACGGAGTATTGTCCATGTACATGTACGTTGATGTAAATCGGAATTGTAGTTCCGATGTTTGAATTGGGAATCAATCGAGAGATAATGAGATTGATACAGTTCAAGTGAATCAAGGCACATCTAGGTAGAAGATAAAGAAAGCCGTAAATGTATTCAATGGGTATCGGGTCTGTCCATAGGACCAGACTACATAATTATGAAGTTATATGAGTAAATGTATCTAGACCAAAGACAAAAAAAAAAAAACACAACTTCCATTCCGAAAACCACTGCACGGCAGAAGGGTATCTCAAACCTTCTCTAGTGCTTCGCGGTGACACTGTCGCCGGTCAGTTTTTCGACTGCTTCTTTGGCCCTGTTCGGTAGAAAGGAGATCTGGTTAGCCCGAGGTTTCATATGAAAATGGAAAAGGTGGATCACAATGACAACAGAATAACGGGAAAAGTAAGGAGAATGGGGGAGGGGGGCGAGTGGAACACTTACATGTCACCGAGAGCAACCATGCAGACGGTCTGCCAGATGCCCAGACCGACACGAGGAGCCACACCACGGTAGAGGCCACGGATACCGTTGCTGTCGTAGATGTACTTGAAAGTCTTGCCGACGGTCAAGTTCTTGGGGCGGTTAGGGTCAGGGGTCTTGCTCTGCATCTCGACACGGATAACCTCAATGGGCTGGTTCCAGGCGGACAGACCACCACCGAGACTGGAAGCCAAGATCTTTTCCGCGGCGGACAGCTTAGCGCCTTCCTCCTTGTTGGCAACTTTGCGGATAGCCGACTCAGCGAGACGGGACAGACCGAAGCGGGAACCCCAGTTGGTAGTCTGGCGAATGGCGACGGCGTTGACGCCACGGTTGATACCGCGGATACCCTCCTTGCGGTAGATATCCATGAAGGTCGCGAAGGTGCCGGGGGGCTTCACACCGGTGGCGGCCATCTTGTGCTTGGTAATCTCGACAGTCTTCATACAAGTGCAGAAGCCCATGGTAGCGTAGGCCTGAGCGACACCGCCAGCCATGCCACCGCTGATACCGGAGACAAAGTCATTGGCACCGAAGGAGCGGGCGTAGTATTCGGCCTCGGAGGCGACGAAGAGGAGAACCGCACCCTTAGTGGATGCCTCAATCCAGGCCCACGGAATGAGTCCCTGGTAGTCTAAACATCCGATCTCGCAATTAGTTTTGAGTTCCTCACACCTGGCGGACCCGGTGCCCCCACGCGCTAGTTAGGGCAGGTCGGGGAAAATTGGGAAGCGGGTATTGAATAGATTTAGAAGCGGGTATTGAATGGACACTTACAACCGAAAATGCCGCCACGGCCCCAAATCCGACCCATAGCGCCCGCGAAGCTATCGCCCCGGTTTGCGGCCATGGTTGTCTTGATCACCTCCAGCGGCTGGGGGATAGTTAGTTTG